TAGTCAGCCAGGGGAACTCTTGGTCCCCAAACATGCTCGCTCTTTTAGGGCTCCCTCCCTGACCTACCCCGACTTGCACTTGTATACACACACACACACACACACACACACACACACACACTCACTCACTCACTCACACACTCACACACACGCTCTCACTCTCTCACACTCACTCACCCCTTATTTGGTCTCCTCTTTTCTCCTATGCTGAGCCAACTCTGCCCTTCCCCCTACAGAGAGGAAGAGCAGGTCCCCTGGGCCTTCTGATCACATTGGATAGTGTGACATCAGACTCTGGGTGGGGAGCTCTTGAAGGTAGGAGTTTCAACTGATGACTAAATCTGCCCCAGTGTGTACTGCTTCATTAACACGTAGTTGAATGAAGCAGGCAGGGCTGAATAGTACGATGTTATCACCTCACTTAGTTGCTTAAAAACACTCATTGCTCCTACCCTTCATGGCTGAGATTTGTCAAAGACCTTGTCTGAGATTTGATAAGTCTCTTAAAGAACAGGCCAAATGCAATGTTAAGAAGATTTAATGAGACAAGACCACTGCCAGCTGGTTTTATTACTCATGGTATTTAATGGAACATTTATTTACATTGTCCTTAGTTTGCTTAAATATTTATGAGCATCACTTTAAAAATAATGCATATCTGGGATTATTATTGTATACATTTCATTTTGGTGTACAGTTAACCACCAGCATTACAAACATCCAATTGACAGATAATTCATACTATCTTTTAATGTTAGGTAAAATTTGCCCTCAGTTTGAAATGACTGAGCCAATTCTTACTTGAAACAAATTCTTCATCACATTCACCTTCCCTTGCTGTATGTATAGCTTTTAAATCATGGCTTTAAGCCCGTTCATGCACTAACAGAGGCTAAATAAGAATTGTATGCACCTGTACCAACTTACCTATAGATTTGACCTAGACAAATACTCAGGAACTGACTTCGTTCATAACCAGGGGATTGCCTGTAGTCCCCCCTGTTTGGCTGTGCATCTTGTTTTCATAACTTGTGCTATAAATCTCTGACGATGCTCGAGAAGCCCACTGGGACTGTCTTTGAGCCTCACTGCTACTGGTTCCACCTTGTAGGGTTTCATATTGAATCAAGTGTTTGCCACCAGGAACTTGGAATGTTTAGTTAGACCAGTCACCCTGATCACAGTTCATCAACTTCTGATATGGAATCTAGATAATCCGTGTCCACATATAGGAGAAATCCAGAGAACAAGCTGTCTGCCCAGCCTGGGTCTGAGAAGAGGCCATTCTGGTCCCTGAAGAAGATCTCCAGCCAGACCTCATCCTCTGGTTGAAGGTAGATGACTGTGGACCCGGAAGCCACATCATGATTCCCCGTGTTGGCATCGAAGGTCCTTATCCTGTACTGCCCATTGTGCACCAGCCCAATTGCCAGGTGCTTGTTTGCCAACGTGATATCATAAGAAAAGTAATAGATCCCTGGGAAGGCACAGATGAACTTGCCAGTGGCAGGGTTGTAGTGCTCACCCTCATTGAAGAGAACCTTGTTAAATACAATCGGTAGTCTTTCTTCCGGGTAACTGGTTGTGATGCCAACAGAAAAGGCAGATTTGAGCACGATGCTTCCACACCTGCAGACTCCAGGTGGCCCTGGGTCCCCCTGGTCACCTCTGTCTCCCTTTGGTCCAGGAGACCCAACGGGACCCACTTCTCCTTTCTCTCCCTCTGGCCCCAGCGGTCCTTTCTTCCCAGTCTCTCCTTGGTCCCCTTTCTCTCCAGCAAGGCCTAGGGGTCCAGTCTTTCCTTTCAAACCTTTAAAAAGAGTTCAGAGTTAATTGATAGTTCCTCTAAGTATGGAGTCAGCCGCGGGAGACCCACGCAGTCCCAGCCAGCCCTCAGCGTGCCTTTTCGGTAAACTCTCCACAGTATTCCCTCCCATGAAAGAGCTTTCAAAAATCAATCTATTTATCAAAAATGGAAATATAACTTGTAACGATGGATCAGATCCCCAACTCCATTTCCCTGAGTTGGTGATACATCATTTGAACCCTGGTTAATCGAAGGCGAGTGGCTATCACTCTGATGATGAACCTCCTAGTACTAAGCCCGTCACCAACAGGTGCTCGATGAGGCAGTCAGTGAGTGTGGGAACATCATTCCCCAGTGCTCTAGTCATGAGGACAGACAGAACCAGGTGAATCCTCAGCCATCTATGTCTCCTGCCCCATTCTGCTTTTATTAGTAGCGATAATTGAATAATTAGTAAAGAATAGATGAGCTGTGTTTATTGTGGAGTTCCAGTGGCACGGGCTTGAGCTGCTCCCTGGGAGAAAGCCGAAGCTACCTTCTGACTGATGGTCTCGGCAATCTATGGGGCGGTTCTACTCTGTCCTATGTGGGTGATATGAGTTGGAACGAACTCTATGGTAGTGAGTGAGTAGTGTACTTATCGAGCCTGCATGTACCAGGGAGTGCATAATTTATTTGCATCATCTAATTTAAGCCCCACAACAAAATTTCATATTAGGAATTACAACAGCCATCCTTTGGTGTCATGGGGGAATTGGTTGAAAACAATAAGCAAATACTACTTAAATTTTATACCAATATAGCACAACAATGCATTAGTACCGTACAAATAGCATTCAATGTTATAGCCAACACACTCCCTAAATAGTGCTTGTGAGAACAATGCTTTCTGGATTATTAATAATCTATACTGCACATTTGTCATTAGGGAAAATACGTTGTCTATGTATACTGTATTTTCACCCCTAAATGTGTATCTGTCCCTAAAGGTGGACATGTGCAGCAACACTCCATTGTTAAATGGAAGTAGTATATATGAGATCAGGCCAAAGCAGGACCTGAAGGAACAAGTAAGCTGCATGAAGAAGTGGCCCAAATGCCCACAGTCTCCACTCCTGTCACAGAACCTTCCTTCTCCCAGTCTGCACCAATGGCCTCCTGGGGAGTTCCTTCCGATAAGTTGATTGAGGAAGAAAAAAATCATGCTTGGTTTACAGATGGCTCTGCACGATATGCAGGTGCCACTCGTAAGTGGACAGCAGCAGCACTGCAGCCCCTTTCTGGGATCTCCCTAAAGGACAGTGGTGAAGGGAAATCTTCCCAATGGGCAGAACTTCAAGAAGTGTATCTGGCCATTCAGTTTGCCTGCAAGGAAAAATAGCCAGATGTGAGACTAGTGGCAACAGCTTGCGGGGCTGGGGCAATGTTCTCCAGGAAGCTGTATA